CTTCGCACACGCAACTGAAATCTGAACCATATTTGATGCATCAGTCATCGCAAACGTTTTGCACATTTTTTGACGGTTTTTTACACCACCGTTTGCGATTATGGCATCGCACACAATTTCGTGGAATGGTCTCTGATCGTAGTGTCGCGTCAGCAGCATCCTGCAATAGTGATACTTCCATGGTGATGTGTGAGTAGTCTCCCTTCAGGTTATGGGTTTGTAAGTACTAACTATGTGCCCCCCCCCCCCTCTCCGATCATATGAGTTGTGAGACACGATTGTGACATTTAGCTTTATTAGTGGTGTTGAATTGTATGATGTGCTTCTGCATGTATGTTTATTTACTTTAGATTAAATCTTGTTCATGTTATAAATCGTAATTTGGGAATTCTGAAATCACATGGTGATTATTGAGTATAATATTAGGGTATACTTGAGGTAACACTGGGGCGCAACTGTACATTGGGATTAGAAAGATAGTCGGTATTTTCTACATCAATGGTGACTTGGAAATGTTTACGTTCTTCGATCACCTAAGAAATAGTAAACGGAATTACTTTACATATAATTGAAACCCATCCGATGTCACATTAGACCCGTGACGATGTTGCATCAAGTTGCAATATTAGTCACGGGCCCAAACCCGACCGGGACTAGTGCTCCGGATGAAAGGTCAATTTTCTACTAGTGAATCAGCGATGTATATATCCAATGTCGTACTGGACCGTACAACTTGTGTTGTAGGTGAAGCAACGCTCAACATTAAGACCGTATAAAATTTATGCACAATCACCAAAAAAAATATTCTACAGAATATAAACGAATACTGTCTCCCTTTCTAAATACGGAGTATATAAGACATTTTAAAGATTTAAATATGGACTACATATGGATGTATATAAATGCATTTTAGCGTATAGATTCACTCATTTTACTTTATACATAGCCTGTATTGAAATCTCTAGAAAGACTTATATTTATAAATGGATGGAGTATAGTACGTAGTGTTGAAACTTGAAAGGCCAAGGGCAGATCGACACGTGCATAGCATAGTCCCTAGCCTCAAAATGTCACTCTTGCCAGCTGAAGATGACACCTCCAAAGACCTGCCGATTAGCAGGTGAGACCCATCCTGATGGATGACATGTGGCATTCACAAATCACAAAGCATCTAATCTCTCCCCCCTGATTTCAGGTGGGGGCATGTGGCATTCACAAATCACAAAGCATCCCCCCACCCCCCACCTGAAATCAGGGGGGGAGAGATTAGATGCTTTGTGATTTGTGAATGCCACATGTCATCCATCAGGGCGGGTCTCACCTAATTTATATGAGACCTGGTCTCATATAATTTTTTTCCCCTCTTCGTACGGTCAAGTCTTCTTCTTTCCTTTCTTTTGCAGATACTATAACGGAACATTGTTAATGGAGTAGCTGTGTTCCATGTATATAAAAATAAAAGACGACGTACAAGTACGTATATTCTTTTTGTTGCATCGGCAGGTCTTTGGAGGTGTCATCTTCAGCTGGCAAGAGTGACATTTTCAGGCTAGGGACTATGCTATGCACGTGTCGATCTGCCCTTGGCCTTTCAAGTTTCAACACTACGTACTATACTCCATCCATTTATAAATATAAGTCTTTCTAGAGATTTCAATACAGGCTATGTATAAAGTAAAATGAGTGAATCTATACGCTAAAATGCATTTATATACATCCATATGTAGTCCATATTTAAATCTTTAAAATGTCTTATATACTCCGTATTTAGAAAGGGAGACAGTATTTGTTTATATTTTGTAGAATATTTTTTTTGGTGATTGTGCATAAATTTTATACGGTCTTAATGTTGAGCGTTGCTTCACCTACAACACAAGTTGTACGGTCCAGTACGACATTGGATATATACATCGCTGATTCACTAGTAGAAAATTGACCTTTCATCCGGAGCACTAGTCCCGGTCGGGTTTGGGCCCGTGACTAATATTGCAACTTGATGCAACATCGTCACGGGTCTAATGTGACATCGGATGGGTTTCAATTATATGTAAAGTAATTCCGTTTACTATTTCTTAGGTGATCGAAGAACGTAAACATTTCCAAGTCACCATTGATGTAGAAAATACCGACTATCTTTCTAATCCCAATGTACAGTTGCGCCCCAGTGTTACCTCAAGTATACCCTAATATTATACTCAATAATCACCATGTGATTTCAGAATTCCCAAATTACGATTTATAACATGAACAAGATTTAATCTAAAGTAAATAAACATACATGCAGAAGCACATCATACAATTCAACACCACTAATAAAGCTAAATGTCACAATCGTGTCTCACAACTCATATGATCGGAGAGGGGGGGGGGGGCACATAGTTAGTACTTACAAACCCATAACCTGAAGGGAGACTACTCACACATCACCATGGAAGTATCACTATTGCAGGATGCTGCTGACGCGACACTACGATCAGAGACCATTCCACGAAATTGTGTGCGATGCCATAATCGCAAACGGTGGTGTAAAAAACCGTCAAAAAATGTGCAAAACGTTTGCGATGACTGATGCATCAAATATGGTTCAGATTTCAGTTGCGTGTGCGAAGTAGGGCATACGGTTGATCCAGACGAACTATTTGCGATTAGACAGAACAACAGAAATGGGCAGCCATATCAATGCATATGCGATATACGGCATACGGTTCACTCCGATGAACTGTTTGCTATTCAGGAAAGCAACAGAAACGGGCAGCCAGATCAACGTGTGTGTGATATACGACATACGGTTCCGAATGAATTGTTTTCGATTAGGAAAGAGAACATAAATGGTTTAGCTTAACAAGACGTGTGTGATACGCGGCAAAAAGGCCCGGAGGTTAATTCTAGAACAAGTACATCGAGGTTAATTTGACATACATGACTTATAAGTTTCACAGAAATCATATTACTTTTTTTGGAAAACATTTAATTGCGTTGAATGTATATAATGCTCCGTCGTATTAGTTGAATTAACCTCGAGGTCCATGTTTTGAAAACATATCGAATGTATATAATGCTCTGTCCTATTGGTTGAATTAACCTCGAGTTCCATGTTTTGGAAACATGTCGTAAAGTAACGGGATAGACCTTCATTCAAGCCAATCAACATGTGTTCAAAAAATCAAAAAATATCAAAAAGTAATGAGATACACCTTCTTCAAGCCAATCAACATGTGTACAAAAAACAAAAAATGTAAAAAATTACAAAACAAGGACCTCGAGGTTAATTCAACTAATATGATGGAGCACTATATACATTCAACACAATTAAATGTTTACAGTGACCCATCACATCAGTTAATTTAACATCGAGGCCACTTCCCATTCCGTCACCCATCTGATGACTACTCCAGACTTAGCACACTTAACTTGGGAGTTCTGTTAGATGAGCTATCGGTAGGGAAGCTGGTCCTTGCGTCTGTAGGATCCCTCTTTGCACTACATAAAATATGTCAACTTGTGACCTTGACTATTGGTCACTGAATGGTCATTATTTTCCATTTGTGACCTTTTTGTGACCAAAAACAGATGGTCAAAAGCTGGCGGTCGTAAACTGAAATTAACGACCTTCTATGTGAGAAGGTCGTAGACGTTTACGAACAAAATATGCCTACTGTTTTGTTTTGGTCACTAGCAACCTCCCCAGGCCGCGTAGGCATCCAACATGGCAAGCTGATGTGGCACAAGAATCAGCCCGGTCCAGTTCTGTCGTCTTTACGGGACGAACCCATTTATTATTGTTTCTCTGTCAGCTACATGGGCCAAGTCCAAGAATTCAGCCTTTTTATTTTCTAGGACGTGACCTACTGTACATTTTGTTTTTGGGCCTCAATCATTTCATAGTTCATTTCTATTTTGGGCCTCCATAACAAACTTTCAAAAACTTGCTCACGAGACACACGTTTATTCCAGCGATAGTGAAATAGAGAGGAAATTCAAACAAGCATGCATCGAGAGCATTTCATTTCTTTCAACATGAAGGGACTTTTGAAACAGCCACAAGCACACAGTAGGTACATTCAACAGAGACAAAATTAACATCAAGATGAAGCAACAAAGGGCAGTCTAAGAACATGAACTACATGGCACACAATAGCTTCCATTTCTACCAGCAGCAGCAGCCGCCTGAAAGAGAGGAGGGACTACCAAGGAGCTAAACTAACAGCGACCATCCATCATAAATTGGTGACTTCAGCAATAAGCGGCAACAGCGACATTCCAGAGACCACCTTCCCCCAGTGTTGCTTGGTGTGCCGTATCACTAGTCACCCTGCACACAACAAGTTTTCATGTGTATAGAGCAGATCAACATGTTGAGCAGTTAGGGGAACACTGTTGCTTGGAGGTGTTTGGCGTGAATGTTATACCTATGGGTAGTTGTAAGCTTAGATCTTCTTGGTGTACTTGGCCTTGAGCATCTCAGCCTTGGCAACATAGGAAGACTTCTCCTTCTATTCATTCAAACAGAGGAAAAAACAGCGGAAATGTTAGTGTGGTGCAAGGCAATAGATTCCTGGATAACAATTAACAGAAGAATAGTTGAACAAATCGTGCGAAATGGCATGGTGAATTTGGAAACTAAAATTTGAGCAATAGTTTGAATTGATGAGTAGCTATGTAAGATGTCGTGCTAGCTCCAACATTGACACGAAATTCATTGGGTGCCTTTGTACCACTCCAACATTTAAAAATGTGCCATAACTTCTCAGGAAGGGAATTCTTTTGAACCGCGGTAATGCAATTCGTGCTGCTTAAAATGTGAAGCGAAATTGACAACGGGCATAACAGTAGGAAAAACTTATAGCATAGATGTTCAAGACAACATAACAAGCTTGAACTGATGTTTAGCAGCAGCGAAGCGTCAGCCATACAAAGTGTACGCAATACTAAAATATGTAGTAAGAACAAAGAACAGATGACATGTTTCTCAAAAAAGAAAAATGAACAGACAACATGACTAATTTGGGTTAGAGGCTGCAACGGGATCACATCTTGAACTCCTCTTTTTGAGTAAAAACTGACAAAGAACAACCTAACAGTGAAGCTGAGTGCCAGCAGTAAATGAACACTAGATAACAAAATTGTAAACAGACTATCACCAGCCTTCCATTAGACCAACACATGATGATTAAGATTGCACAATTTGTAACCTATTCCTGACCCAGAAAAATAATGCTCGAATCCTGGACACAAAAGATTTAGCCAAGCTCTATTGGCCAACATGGTGAAAGCCAATGGAACAAGAAGTACTGCTTGCCAGTTTTTGATAGAAAGAAGTTTACATTTCAGCAATAGGATCAAGGTGTGTACTGAACATGAACCATCAAAATATTGCGTCAGAGAGAGGGGGGCTACCAAATTGAGTTGCTCTGTCATCCATGGTGGCGTCCTTGCATCCATGTAGCTGTTGCTGCTGCTGACCTTGAAGATGCAGCTCCATGTTCTACTGTTGTACCAAACGAACCTTGCCACATGGCCGCGTCCTGCAGATGCCACATCAATCCAATTAGCAATAGGTAAACTGTCAGCTGAATGAAGGAAGACATCAAACAGCGAGCTGTGGCACGAATCAGGGCCGAAAACCGTCGAGATCTCCAGCAAATCTGCCAGGAATCGACCACCACACGAGACACAACGGGGAAAATCAGAGGAAGGGGCGTCGAATTGCATGGTCAAAGGATGAGATTGGGGGCCGGACATCACCACCTCCATCGCCGTCCGTACCTTGGAGAAGGGCGAGAAGGAGAGGCCATAGGGCGCGAGGCCCGTGGGATTGCCCCCCGAAGAAGGCCGCCTGGACGGCGTGTGGGCTCCGGCGTCCTCCCCCTCGCCGCCATCTCTCCATGGCCTGCGCCGGCTCCTATGGGCAGGGGAGGAAGAGGCCATCCCGCCCATGGTGTCCCGGAGCTCGAGCAAGGACGACGTCCTGGATCTGGGAGGGACAGAACACGAGGTGAGGAAGTGAGGGAGGGCTATGAGGAGGAGGAGGAGGAGGAGATTGAGTGGAGGGATGCACCTGAGCCCGCCGTCCGCGACGCCATGGCTGCCATGCTCGATCTGCAGCATAGCCGGGGCTTGGAGGGAGGGCGCGGTCGATCTGGTCGATGCGTCAGATCTGTTCTGAGGGAAGGATGGAGCGGAGGTGACGAGGTCATGGTGGTGTGCTGGGAGCAGCAGATCGCCGGGATCGGCCAAGGTGCACGCTGACGACGCAGTTCCTGGTGTCGCTGGTGACGCTGTTGTAGTGGTCGACGATGCTGAGCAGCACCAGCGGGTGCACCACCACTTCTCCAGCGTCCGCCCCGACAGCTGCGCCACCTTCATGACGTCCATCTCCTCTCCCTCTCCTCAGTGCGTCGTCAGGGAGCAGCGCGAGGGGCGCGGCCCCGCAGGCGGAGAGGGAGCAAGGGCGCGAGCGGGCGGAGGGATCCGAAGGTGGGTGGCGTGAGCGGGCGGAGGGATCTGACGTCATGGCGGCGGCGGGCGCTTGGGTTGGATCTGGATCGGGGAGAAGGGAAGGTGGCAGAGAAGGGGAGAGAGAGGCGGGCGCGGTCTGCTAGGGTTTGGATTAGGCTGCTAGGAGGTGGACGGTTCAGATCGGCTAGAACGGACGATTCAGATTGGCTAAGGAGGGTGATCCGTGGGATGAGCCCTGATTGGCTCAGAAAATTTATGGTTTAAAATAGTTTCTAAGTACTAAAACTATGGGTGTTTTGTGAAGCAGCTATCAAAACTATTTTGCAAAACGGCACAACTAAATTTTTCTCTCAAGTTAGACCACATTTTTTGGATGATCGCCAATTTGCATGCATTTTTATCTTTCTAGCTATTTTTAATCATTTTTCGAGTGCCCGAAATGAGTTTTTTTGTGTGAAGGACCTACCATATGTTTCTTGCAAAATTGGACCAAATCATTTTTCTAAAATACTAGGCCATATTTAATGCACAATTGATCAAATGGTTGGGTGTAAAAAGTTTTGATCCACCTCTGGTGAAAAAGACAAATTTCCGCCGATTCAGTTGGAAGCGGGTCAAATTTGAACTGCAGCTGCCTCATAGTTTGCTCTTTATTTTTTTTAAATCATTTGTAGGTACATAAGTATCTATTTAATCAGATAAACATCAAAGGTTTTCCAAGATTCACCACTAGCTAGGAACGGTCAAGCCCGCCATTTTGACCGCATTTTGAAACGGGCATAAAAATTTAAAAAAAATCAAAAAATTGGAAAACCTTCGCATTGTGTCATTATATGTGACCAAGTTTCTAGGAAAAATAATAAACTTGTAATATGGAAATTATTTAAAAAAGTGTTCTAAAAAATGAGCTATCATGCGTGAAGATTCATAGCTTTCAAGCGAAATGATCAATCTTATGGCCACATTCATGGCATAGTTTGTTCAAATAATCTCATATTGTGCACAAGGGTGCTTCTTGGAATGGCAAACAATGTTGCCTAAGGAATTTTTCATTTTCTTTGCACGGAGAATTCATTTTCCATTTTCCGAGTGCCTCAAATGAGTTTTTTTTTGTGAAGGACCTACCATATATTTGTTGCAAAATTGGACCAAATCAATTTTAGAAAATACTAGGCCATATTTAATGCACAATTGACAAAATGGTTGGGTTTCAAAAGTTTTGATCCACCTCTGGTGAAAAAGACAAAATCCCGCCAATTCAGTTGGAAGCGGGTCAAATTCGAACTGCAGCTGCCTCGTAGTTTGACATTTATTTTTTTCCAAAAATCATTTCTAGTTACATAAGTACCTATTTAATCATAAATACATGGTTTGGTGGCGATACGTTGAGGTTTGGGCGAGGGCCCCAACTCTAGAGCGCGTAAACTCGCATGCCCGCCGCGTGGTCACCGCGTGACCGTGGCGTTGCCATGTGTTCTGGGCGGCCTAGGCATGTCTAGTGGGTTGGGCACTCCCCACGTAGGTGCTAGGAAGAAAATCACAACATAAGATTCTCACGAGGAGACCGATCGATGCTCAAACATGAATAAGCAGCCAAGTGTTTGATTAGCGGTACGGGAAATGCACATGGCTAATGGGCGTGAGTTTTGGCTGAGGATGATCAGTTACTAAGACGACCGTCTTCACAAATTTTCAGCTCAAAAGGAGGAGCCTAGGTGGTACTTGCTTTGCAAAGTACCACACTGGACATAAATACGAATGTTGAAGCTGGGCTCAAAATAATGAATGGATTGAGCTAGCATTTGGTGGAGGATGGTTATTTGGGTAGAGGAAAGCACTGTAGAAAATGGATACCATTTGGACATGCCAAAGTGGTACTTCCTTCACAAAGTGTTTTTCTGAAAAGAATAGGAAAATGAATATTTTTGAATTATTTTTGAACTAGGCAAGGAAGGTTTTTTACATATTTGACAAAGATATGACCCAAAGAATTTATGAGATTTTTTGGGAATTTTGGGAATGACAGAAATATAGGTTGCTTCACAACCTAGGGCAAAAACTGCCACATGGACATGACACATAGGCAAAACTGATGAGGTGGCACCTAGTCATATCAACCCACCACAATTTACAAGGTTATGACCATCTATATTGGTCCTGATCAGCTAGAAATAAGGCAGTGGAGCAGTGCTATCTGCTTTATGACCATTTCGTGTAAGGAAATTACGACTTTTTTGACCAAAATGGTCGTTATAGTTTAGGGTTTGGAGCCCCCCGAACAGTTTTTGACCAATTGGTTTGAAATGGTCATAGATCTATGACCAATTCTTCCAGGGTCACTGACAGAAGGTCACTAGTTGACATATTTCTTGTAGTGTTGCATCCTTTATTGGGCACCCGGATGACCGACTGTTGCCGTCCAATAGTCAATGCCACGTCCCCCGCATGACAATTTTTTGCAGCGGGTAACTGCATCGTCGCGACGCGCCCAGCACAACCGCATGCACAC